TCAGTGAACAACGGCTCTGTGTAGTTAATGCTGCTCAATGTGAAAGCCCGCAGGTGATGGAGATTTACGCTGATTACAGAACCGGCTTTCTGACAAGATGCGCGTTAAATATCGCATGCGATTAATCGTGCAGCCCTAGTACAAACGCAGCTGAAGTGTGTGACAGGCAGGATCCACATCAGTGCGGTTCACTTACTGTACACTAGAGAAGTGTGTGTAATCAGACACAGACGAGAACGGAATGTGTGTGAGATTGTAAGGTCAGAGTGTGACCTTTGACCTCTGTGACCTCTTATGAACTCCAGATCTATTTCTGCTCGGCTGTGGGTTGATCATCGTTTAGAAGATATACCTTCAGTTTAGGTGTATTTAGTTAGTTTTATCGGGCGAATTCCAAACGGCTTTTTTGTTTGTTTTTCCGTCAGTGATAGAAATATAATTTAAGACGGTATTGTAAGCAAGTTTAAGCACGTTTAGTTTGGAAAAAGTGTAATGGTAAACAAGACACAATTACAAATAAGACACAGGACTAAAGATATTATATACTATATGCAAGATGTATAAAATAAAGATATTATTATCTTAGGCATGACTTTAAATTAAGCATCTGCTCTTTGTGACTTTAAGATATTTAAGATAATAATAAACTTTTGCATTATGAATTTCTGAACCATTCAGAGGACATATACTGAATATGTACATAAATGTTCACATGCATTTGAATGTAGAGAAAATGTAAAAAATCAATAGTAAAAATTGATAAGGAAATGAAAAAATTAAGCAATTAAAAATATCTCAATTGTATTTATTTTAATATTATTATGGCTTTATTTTAATATTAAATTGCATACTTACACTGTTTATTTTTATTTATATATTTATTATTTTAAAAATTATCTTTTTAGTAACAACTCATCAACAGGTATTGTTAAAAAAACAAACAAAAAAACAAATTGTTGTATTAATTTTAATATATGTTAATCTGAATAAATTAGAAATCTTAAAATTATACATGTTTTATTTCAAGTAAAACAGAAGAAATATATATATATAATATGACATGATCACCATTGATTTATTTATATTAATATTGATTTATCAATATTTTATATAGTATACAAATTATATATATATATATTATTTTATACTTTATTATTTTTATTTCAAATAAAATATTTCATCTTTTTTTGTGTTTTTTTGGTTGTAAAAAAAAAAAGTCCAATTGAATTATAATTTATGCTATGCTAAGTTTACTATAAATTGAAGTAAAAAAATAAAGATTTTAGATTTTTGATCGTATGTTTACTAGGGCTGTGTATCACCAGCAAACTCACGATACATATCACGATACAGATGCCACGATACGGTACATATCACGATACAGGGCTGCACTGAATTTCACCTCAGAAGAGTTTAGTAAAACAGCTGTTTATTAAACACTGCTTACTATAGTGCCATTTCTAACTATTGGCAGAGCAGGCAGCTGACCTCTGCATTATGAAGGGCCTCTATAACTGTACCACAGTACAATATAGGTAATGGCATATGTTTCATGTTTACATTGTGCACTCCCCACCAGGTACAATATTCTGATTGTTTGCATCTTGTTTTTAAGCCCATAAATAATAATGTACTCGTTCTAATAAATTTATATTGTAATGCACTCTTACTAATATATTAAAATCATCTTAGCATTGCTGGTAGGTTATCATTGCACAAATTAACACACTTTCTACATTTAAAAAATAAAAATAAAAATTAGAAGAGTTCTAAACTAATGCACTGTCTTCTGTATCTTAACGCACAGTCGCACACGTTTAGTCACTCACACAGACATTCAGGAACGAACTTTTTAGCGCTGCCCCACAGTTTTATCAACTAAATAGCTTAATCGCTCAAGAGCTACATTATCTTTCTCAACAAGGAGCTGGTAGCATCATTGTTTCTAAAGGAATTAAAGCCACAGCTTCACTGTTAATGGAGAAACGCGGCAAAACGGTGGTAATTCATACATACACAGCCTCGCACTTTTCTACTCGATTATAAACGTGGTTCTTGTGTTCAGATTAAGCGCGGTCCACTGCTGCACATGTGCCACAATATCAATACTGAGACAGCTGTATCCATACTTGTATCGTCAGATCTCTGTGACGATACATCATCGTATCGAACACAGCACTAATGTTAATTAAAAAAATATTGTATCATTTTAACTGCTGTATTTTTGTGCGCTTGGTTTTTATTTTGTGTTTATGTGACTCTTGTATTATCCCAACTCAGTTTTTGCAATGAAAATAGCCTTAGATGCTGACATGGCAATAAAAATAAATAACTACTACTTAGAAAAAAAAGAATAAGCAAGTAAAATAGAAGCATAAATCTTTTTTGTGTGTGGAGTATTATTATTTCCATTGCAAGTCTCTGAGTGTCTGTGTGTTTGTTGGTTTCAGACTCGGAGGAATCGTCTCCACCGACGGCGGCGCAGCTCAGATACAGTGAGTTCACGTCTCTCTCGGCTCTTTCACTCATTCACTGATGTTTCTCTCAGCTCTGGATCTTCTGCTTTCTAGTTCTCCTGCACAACGCCATTCCCTTCATCGGCTTCGGCTTCCTGGATAACGCCATCATGATCGCCGCCGTGAGTCACAGCACATCAGTACACACAGCTGTCAGCACTAGATTATAGAGATCCGCAGTCCAAGAACTGAGGTGCTAAACACAACAGCAGATCTGAGAGCTTGAAGGTTTTCATATAATATGCATCAAGTAACAGTGAAAACATGAGGTATTGTGATTATGTGAGTCATTTTCTTGTGTTTAAATACTGTTGTGTTTTTTTGAGAGCTTGTTTTATTCCGTGGCTCTTTGTGTTCGTCTCTGATGATGCATGTGGTGTTGTTTTTTAAGGGCACTCAGATTGAACTGTCCATCGGATTGACGCTGGGAATATCCACCATGGCAGGTATTAACACACACACACACACACACAAACACACACACACACACACACAC